TTGGTCACGAATAAATCGCTTAAAAAACCAATATGGGTGCAAACTCAAATTATAGTAAACATAATCTATACAAAGTTAATCAAACAAATAATAACAATAAATAATAAAATATACTTAAGATACTATAATTGAAAACAACTATAACTTATTATTTATTTTATTAACAGACACAACAAGTTTTTTACTCGAATATTAAAAATTGAAATAATCTCATTTTTTGTTAAATAACTAAACATGCACTGCCAATATTGATTACAACATTTAGTTGACATGTTAGTTAGCTACTTATATTGACCATAGATAAAAATTTACTGTTAAACAACTAACTTTTTAATTGCAATTAATTGTAATTATTTTAACATTTTCAAGTCAATTAGTCTATAAAATTAACCACAATTTAACTATTAAATTATCAAATTAATAATCAGAACACTTAAAACACGAAGTTTTACATTTGCTATAACAATCACAGATACATCAAACTGAGTGCTTGATTTATTTAATATATATATACGTAATTCACACTATAAAATTATGTTATTTCAAACTCAACATCATCATCAAAAATATGTAGAATTTAATAATTTTGTCACTTTTTTATTCATTTTAATCACAAATACAATAAAAATATTAAAATAACATTTTGCAATACATCTAATGTAATATATAACTGTATTGTTCTTGTGTGACTTATTTAAAACTAAATGCATCACCGTATTATTTCAATTATGCAATCCTTTTCACCATAATTTAAAAAATTGTTGATACTTTTAATTTTACAATTGAACCATGATTTATTTTTATCAATCAGTTTTTAATGACATTTTTCATTGTTGTGATAAAAGTGTTTTATACTATTTTTTTAAAGATTGGATTATCTTACATTGTTGCTTTTTATTATTGCTTTGTTCACGTGTAATGTTATCTACGAAAAATAACTTCTTGTGTCTATAAAATTAATTCACGTCTACATTGTTTTATCTTTTATTATTATTAATTATTTTTTATATATGTTTATAAAAAAAAGATGAAAAAACTTACTAAATCATTCAATCAAAAAAACAATAATAGTAACTCCCCGAAGGGCTGCCTTTTTTTTCTTTTGGTTTTAATAATAAAAGTGTGTCAATCGCTGCTCTTGGCGTTTTAATACAGTCACTTTTGTAAACTTAAAAAAGAAAGTGAACGAGAATATAATTTATAAAGCAAAAAAACAAATAACGTTGAAACTATTGTGTCAAATAATGACTTTTTTACCGTTAACGTGTTTTTGACACAACCAAGTCGATCTTACATTTCTGTGTTTTTATTGTACATAATAAAAAGAAAAATAATTAATATAAAACGTAATTGTCTTTTCTAGGTGTCGTCACACTGACAACACCAACACAACGTTCAAATATGTTTAAATTTGGAAAAATTTCAGGTTTTTTTGTATTTTTTTAAAATTATGGCTTTGAACTTAAGTTATTGTCATTAATCAGTTGATTCTTCTTGCACCACAGTCATTTTATAAATTGAAATGATTTAACTTTGCTTTACATCAAATAAAAAGAAAGAATAAAAACCAACAATTAATTAAATACTCTTAACATTATTTTTCTCGATATGCAACCAATCTTCTTGTGTTATAATTACGAATATTTTTATCTTCGTGGCATAACTTTTAATTGATTACGATAATTATCGAAACATATTATAACTTGATTAGACATTTAATAATTAAATTGAAATCC